CGCGATCTCGGCTCACCGCAACCTCCACCTCCTGGGTTCAGGCAATTCTCCTGCCTCAGCCTCCTGAGTAGCTGGGATTACAGGCACGTGCCACCATGCCCAGCCAATTTTTTGTAGTTTTTAGTAGAGACGGGGTTTCACCGTGTTGACCAGGACGGTCTCAATCTCTTGACCTCGTGATCCACCCACCTCGGCCTCCCAAAGTGCTGGGATTACAGGCGTGAGCCACCGCACCCGGCCAAAAAATTTTTTTTAAATAATAATAATACATGTGAATTCCATCTCCCGGTTCCTTGTCATTTTTATGTCTTTTGTACAAGGGAGATTAAAATAGCTCCTGACTCAGTTACAGCCCTGTGCTGTATTCAGCACTTTGGGGGTGGGAGAGACATTCTGGACTCTTTCAGTATGTGTGTCAGTTAAATTATGGTGTCATATGTTTGTATTTCAGGGTTTATCCATGTGTATTCGCATTGATTCATTTCTGATTGAACCTGGCATTGTATAATGATTATTTCTTTTGATTTTTGCTGCCTCTTGGCAGACCTCTTTATTTTTCAACCAAAACCCGAGAGGAAATACTTGCATTACATAAAACTATAGCAGAAGCCTCCTTGTGGGCTGTGAAAAAGGACGCTGGGCTTATATGAGCTCTAACTCCTAGAATGAGAACTAGCCCCTGCTGGGAGCTCCCCTCTCCAGGTGCTGGAGGTCAGCAGTGAATATCCCAGTCACCCCCACCCCTGTGACTTAGAAATGTAGGAAATAGAGTGGCCCCTGAGGTGCCGCTAATCCAGCCCCAGTAGGAGGCGCTGGAAGGACTCGAGTCCAGAGTCTGGTAGCGCCACCTGGCTAGGATCAGGTACACAGCTTCACTTTTCTTTTATTCATTCAACAAAGATTTAAGGCCTGCTACTTCGAAGGCACTGTTCTAGGTATTAGGGGTGCAGCAGTAAACACGACAGGTAAATCAGATGTTAATATATCTGGCCAGGTGCGGTGGCTCACGCCTGTAATCCCAACACTTTGGGAGGCCGAGGCAAGTGGATCACCTCAGGTCAGGAGTTCTAGACCACGCTGGCCAACATGATAAAACCCTCTCTACTGAAAATACAAAAATTAGCCAGGTGTGGGGGCACGCACCTATAATCCCAGCTACTGGGGATGCTGAGGCAGGAGAATCACTTAAACCTGGGAGGGGGAGGTTGCAGTGAGCCAAGATAGCGCCACCGCACTCCAGCCTGGGAGACAGCAAGTCTCCATCTCAAAAGAAGAAAAAAAAAAAGATGTTAATACATCTAAAAGGAATTCCACAGAAGCAGGTGAAGCAAAGAGGTTCAGGTTCAATGTGCAAAAGTGTGTCCAACACACTCTGAAGTTACAGATCAAGGGATTGTGCTCCTGTGGGCACGTCAGGCCCCACTAGGGTAGAAAAAGTCCCCTCTGAGACTGCAGCCCTCTGGTTCTAACCCCTCCCACAGGGCTTCTTATGACACTAATTTGGCCTCCTTGCCTTAGGCTCAGATTCTGGGGAGTGTGCCCTGAGCGAGGACGCAAGCCTACTGTCACAGGGAAAGGTTGCTACCATCCTCTCCCCAACCTACTGGCAATGTTAGCGTATGAACATTTGAATCCATTAATACCTGCTATACTTCTGCTCTGTGCCAGGCAGTGCTCTAGGCCCTTAGGGAAGGTCCCTGCATGAATGGAGCTTACCATCTGGTCAGGGTCATCTTGTTAAGAGCCTGAGTTCTACAATCAGTGTCGAGATTTAAATCCCAACACCCCCTTTCTTTTATTTTTATTCCTTCTTTAAATTTCAAACAGATGGTCTTGCTATGTTGCCTTGCTGGTCTCAAACTCCTAGGCTCAAGCAGTCCTCCCAAAGTGCTGGGATTGCAGGTGTGAGCCACCATGCCCCGTCCCAACTCCCCCTTTCCATCTGGTGAACATGAACAAATTACTTGACCTCTCCTTGCCTCACTTTACTCATTTATAAGATAGGAATACTGTTTAATAGTGTCTGACTCATAGAGTCATTGTCAGTTTTAAACATGATTACACATATAAAGGTCTTAGTACAGTGTCTGGCACATCATAATACACATGAAATGTTTGCAATGATTAATACAGTGATGTTAGTTTTTACTGAAAAATACGGTCTGTGAATTTACAACTAAAAACCAATCCTCTGGCTCTTTTTATTTGACCCAAGTGGACCCTGGTGGACTTGGGATCCAGCCTCTCTAGACATAACAACTACCCCACTGTCTGCTCAATCAGTAGGTCGTGGGAAGTATCTCACACGGAGGAGGAGAAGGGTTAGGGAAGGGGACGGATGTTGGCCACTGCATGGTTGAGAGCTTGAATACTTTAATGCAGGCCATAAAGTAAGTGTGATCTCATTTTAGAGTTACAGGTAGTAACAGCAGAGTAATTCAGACAGGCAGGTTTTTTGTAGAGATACAGATGTTGATAACAGCTATGTATTTAGATAATATAAGAAGGTATCCCATAAGGGAGGACTTAACATTTTTCTTTCTCTTTAGGAGAATATATTAGGGCCAGGCACAGTGGCTCATGCCTGTAATCACAACACTTTGGGAGTCCAAGGCCGGTGGATCGTTTGAGGTCAGGAGTTCAAGACCAGCCTGGCCAACATAATGAAACCCTGTCTCTACTAAAAATACAAAATTAACCAGGCAGTAGTGGTGTGCACCTGTAATCTCAGCTACTCGGGAGGCTGAGGCAGGAGAATCGCTTAAGCCTGGGAGGCAAAAGTCGCAGTGAGCCAAGATTGCACCACTGCATTCCAGTCTGGGCGACAGAGTCAGATCATGTTCAAGAAAAAAAAAAAAAAAAAAAGATGCCTGGCGCCATGGCTCACACCTGTAATCCCAGCACTTTGGGAGACCAAGGCGGACGGATCACCTGAAGTTGGGAGTTCAAGACCAGCCTGACCAACATGGAGAAACTCCACCTGTACTAAAAATACAAAATTAGCCAAGCATGGTGGCACATGCCTATAATCCCAGCTGCTCAGGAAGCTGAGGTAGGAGAATCGCTTGAACCCAGAAGGCAGAAGTTGTGGTGATCCCAGATCCCACCATTGCACTCCAGCCTGAGCAACAAGAGCAAAACTCTATCTCAAAAAAAAAAAAAAAAAAGATTTATTAAACCAGTAATAATGGTTGTCTCTGGGAACAAAAACTGGGTGACAAGAACAGAGGTAGGAAGTGACTCTGTTTTTCTGTTTTTTGAACAGGTTCTTGCTCTGTCACCTAGGCTGGAATACAGTGGTGTGATGATCTCGGGTCACCATGACCTCTCCACCTCCCAGGCTGAAGCAGCCCTCCCGCCTCAGCCTCCCGAGCAGCTAGGACTACAGGCACATCGCCCAGCTCATTTTTTTTTTTTTTTNTTTGTAGAGATGAGGTTTTTACCATGTTGCTTAGGCTCTTCACTCTGTGTTCTATTGTACCTTTCTAATTTTGTACCTTCTGAAGGTCTTGCCAATTTTTTTTTTTTTAATCAATACCCAGCAGCCTGGGCAACATGGCAAAACCCCATCTCTACAAAAAAAATTAGTTGGGCGTCATGGCTCATGTCTATGGTTCCAGCTACTCAGGAGGCTGAGGTGGGAGGATCACTTGAGCCCAGGAGGCAGAGGCTGCAGTCAGCCGAGATCACACCACTGCATTCCAGCCTGGGCAACAGAGCAAAATCCTGGATCAAAAAAAGTAAATAAATAAGTACCTGATGGTAAAGAAGCCCAGTCATCTTGGAGCAAACTTTGTCCCGGAAAGTACTGGAGTGTTCTGAAGGTAGTTGAGTGGACCCTTCCAGTGATAGCCACATAAAGCTAATAGGCACCAGTCACCAGTTAGGACAAGGTGACCAAAAAATGCAAGTCAGCAAGCCTTAAATACACAGGATTTTCTTTTCTGGCATAAAAAATCCACAGTAGCCGGGCGTGGTGGCTCACGCCCGTAATCCCAGCACTTTGGGAGGCCAAGGCGGGTGCATCACGAGGTCAAGAGATCGAGACCATCCTGGTCAACATAGTGAAACCCTGTCTCAACTAAAAATACAAAACATTAGCTGGGCATGGTGGCGCGTGCCTGTAATCCCAGCTACTCAGGAGGTTGAGGGCAGGAGAATTGCCTGAACCC